AATCGAGACAAAAGGAATTGTCAGTGTTTCTACGAAAACTATAGGTAGAAGATTAAATGATTTGAAGTTATTTGCACGTCGCCCGAGTAATATGCCGCTAATCTCGAGGAAAAACCGTAAGGGCCGAATACAATTTGCAGGGTTGCATCTTGATTGGAGCATCTGTTTCTGGAAGAGGGAATGTTTCAGTGATGGATCCAAGTTCAACATGTTTGGATCAGATGGTGTTCATTACGTTAGACGTCCTAGTGGACAAAGATTGAACCCCAAGTACACTTTGCCCACTGTCAAACATGGAGGCGGGTCTGTTATGGTTTGGGGGTGCTTTTCGGGGTTTACATAGAATAGATGGCATTATGGATAAGTTTGTTTACACAGACATACTAAAGCATGTTATGTTATCGTATATGGTAGACAATATGCCCTTAAGATCAATCTTCCAGCAAGATAATGACCCGAAGCACACTTCAAATCTCGCAAAGAAATTCTTTCTGGATGACAAAATACCAGTTCTCAAATGACCTTCACAGTCTCCCGATATAAACCCCATTGAAAATCTGTGCGAATACTTAAATAAGCAAATACGAGATAAAAATTAATTCAAACAAGGATGAACTTTTTGCCGCTTTAGAGCAAAAGTCGAGACAGATTGATAAATCTTATAATCTTTCATGTACCAAACCCTGTATTATATTTTCGTTCGTAATTATTTTGTTATTAGATAATATTTGTATCTTTATCGATTTATAAAACATATTGTACATTGTCTATATCTCGATATAAAATATAAATTAGATATTATTATTATCAACTACCTGGATACTCCGAATTTCAGTTTCATAACTTTAGAAAAATGTTGCGCATTAAAGAAATAAACGATAAACCTCCTCAGGCAGCATATCTCACAATCTCGACACCCTGAAAATGAGGGAGCGGTCGCACCGGCCAGTTCTCAATATGCCAAGCTCCAAACAGTTGAGATGGGAGGCGGCAGCCCGGAGAGTCCGTCTGGGAGGCACAACGTGTGGATTCAACATGGCATGAGAGCTCTGAGGGGCAAAGCTTACTGACCACCATCGGTCTTCGGTGCGGAAGGGTTCCTTTATAGAAGTGTCATTGATCAGTGGAGCAGCCCTAATCTGAACAACGTTGAATATAGACGGTATAGTTGTGCGACAGAACCCCGAGCGCGTAGGTAGTACTAGCGGCTGGGTCTTATTTGGGTCTCATACAGCATGAAGAGAAAAGTACTGTTCAGCTCTAAATAAACCATGAGATCCAAAGAAAATATCTTATATTTGATTTGTTACTTTTTATTTAAGTAAAATGTTGTCTGTGTGGGCAGCGAAAAAAACTTGAACCTTGAGGACTGAACTATCGAGATAAATAGTATTTCCTTCCACTTCGATAAGCTTACACGTCTCCGAACTCTCAAAACCAGACCCATCCCAATAAAAATATCCCGTCAAGTGTATTTGCTTCCTGGGGAAACTTTTGCTGGGCTCGGCGGCTTTTTGATAGAGATATCCCGGTTCATTCGGTAATATATCAATTTTTGCACAGCACATTAACTGCAGCCAGAAAGGTGCCTTTTTGACGCGTCGTCGCTTACGAGATTCATTTGTTATGTACACAACTTGGGAGGAAGCAGGAAGTGCGAGGATGAGAACACTTCCTGCAAGGGTATTTAGGTTCACTCAGGGTGAGGAATACTTTTGCCAAGTATAAAATGATACAAAACTGCGAGGGTTTCAAAATGTTTGGATTTCAGATAATTACTGTTTTCTCCATAACAAGAAAATATACAGGGTGTTTCGGAATTAAGGGATCAAACTTCTAGTGATTATTCAGTGTTCGAGGGATGTCTTTTAAGTTTTGCATTTGGAAATAAAACAACACTGTAGGTAGTTTTAAATGACTTCATTGTTTTTCGAAGTATTCTCCACGAAGATTAATACACATGCGCTTGCGCTCGAACCAATTTCCGAAGCACTTATTCCACTCGTTTGCTGGCAGATCCAAAACGGCATTTTTGAATGCGTCAACTGCTTCCTCTGCTGACTGGAACCTTTGACCACGCAGTCTGTTTTTAATTTTCGGGAATGTAAAGAAATCGTTAGGACTTAGATCGGGACTACATGGAGGATGGTCCAGTAATTCCACGTTTTCTTCCGTTAACTACTGCCTTGTTTTTTGGGCTGTGTGCGAGCTTTCATTGTCTAGGTGGAGGATGATTCTTCTTTCGGGGTTGATTTTTTGAAGCTCGGTGATGACTTTTGGTAAACAAATGGTAGTATACCAATCCGCAGTAACAGTTCTTTGCCCATTAAGAGGAATTGTTGCAATATGCCCGCTTTTGACACAAATGCGGCAACAATCTTTTTCGAAACACTTCGAGAACGGATGACTTTTGTTGGTTTTTCTTCACCTTGGAACACCCAAACAGCCGAATGTCGTTTATTTTCTGGTTCATAACAGTAAATCCACGATTCATCACCACTAACAATGCTGTACACATTTTTTGAGTTTCCGGAATTGAAACGGTCAAGCGTTTTTTGACACCAATTAACCCTGGCTGCTTTCTGCTCTTCAGTCAACAGGTGGGGTATCGAACGAGAAACTAATTTTCTTACTTCTAATTCTTCATGTAAAATTTTTTGAATTGAGGTCTTTGAGATCTTCAAGGACGCCTCAATCTTGCGATATGTCACATGTCACATCTTCAATGATGAGTTTGCGCCCAGCATCGACGTTTTTCTGGGTGACTCCGTTTTTGGTGCATCCACCTTGGGATCGTTGCTAAGATTCACCCGTTTGAATTCTCTATACCAACGGGAAATTATCGACTGATGTGGCGCTTCGTTGCCGAAAACAGACAGTAACCCAGCAAGGCATTCTTGTTGAGATAATTGTCTCCGAAAGTTGTGATAAATTATGGCGCGAAAATGTTTTCGGTCGAGTTCCATTTTTCTAATGACTTGGTGACATTTAAAAAATCACTGTAGTGAGAACACTGCACGTATTGTTGTGAAACTTTGAATTTAAGTTCACTAAAGAGTGAGGTTAAGATTCAATACTGACGTTCGATCCGTGCGGCCTACTATGTTTCTATATGCAAATCTTAAGAGACATCCCTCGTAACAGTAGAAAACATTTGAGTATAGGGACCCATATCCGGAAAAGTGTCACTACGGCACTACGGCCCTAAGATGCGTTAAAACTTAGAAAGAGGATGAATTGCCTAATTAGGATTTAATGCATTTAATTTTTGCCTTTTGTCCATGTATCATCACAGCAATTGTTCAAAAAATTTGATACTCGTTTTGAATGATTTCAAATGCTGCTGTAATTCGTCCAATTAAGTCTTGCTCTGTTTCTACTGGAGTTTCGTAAACCAAAGACTTTACATGTCCCCACAGGAACGGTGTATTCAGGTTGGAAGAAGACATTTTGAACAATTGTTGTGATGATATCATGTACAAAAGGCAAAAATTAAATGCAAAAGTCGTATTTAGGCAATTCATCATCTTTCTAAATTTTAATGCGTCTTAGGGCTGTAGTGCCGTAGTGACAGTTTTCTGGATATGGGTTCCTATACTCAAGTGTTTTCTACTGTTACACTGCATAACCCCTAGAAGTTTTATCCCATAGTCCTGGAACACCCTGTATGTTAGTTACTATTTCCACCAGTCTGACTATCTGTTGGCGTTTTTATGCCTAATATTAGAAATGGCATCGCCGATTACGATTAAGTTTGAGAAATTGTTTGCTGTGGTATCACATCTGGTAGTGGTCCACGAAAAGCAGAAAATTGAGGTCATTCTCAAACTTTGTTCTTGGCTGTACCTATGAACGACCTCCTTTCCTGTATGATCAATCCGATCCACAGCCTTGCTGGTGACAGTACTGTGCATGCAAGAGTTCATAGTGACAGGCAGATTATTAGCTGGAGAGACGGAGACTAGCAGCAACTTCCTCTTCGACGAGAGATCTGGCGGTTATCACTGCTTGGCGATACAACAATCTGGTATTGTTTCGACCATATCACCGATGATTTGACGTGGCAGGAACACGTCACGTTAATAGCGACAACTGCTTGGAATACACATAACCTCATGGGCGAGATACGACCTACCCTCGAGTACTGCTCATTTTCATTGGGGTGCTGCCATTCTGACTACATTATCCATGCTCGATCCTGACTATCGGACTGATCGATGACTCTTTCTCTTCTGAGCTCTTTTCCATTTTGCCGCCACGGGATGTGCCTACAGACAGATTTGCTTGTCTTCGGCCTCTTACCATAACCGTTTCGAACTGCGTATACCCAGAACCGATCGGAACCACCGCTCTTTTATCCTGAAGAGGTTTTTTCATATCTACTAATCTTAGACAGATTAACAAAGTGTATTTGAGCTCTTCATAGTCGCTGCACTGCTCTGTAGGCTTCTGCCGACGCAGCTACTTCGGTGTAAAAAAGTAAAAAAAAGCGTCATTGACAGATCAGGTTTCAGTTTCGATTTTGACTATATTCATAATCTAATATTGCGAAAGCATTCTTAAATACTGACGCATTTGCAAGCAATAAATCTATAACATTTTTCCAACTTGTAACATCAAAGGAGTGAACCGAGAATAAGATCCAGAACTTTGGGAGGCCTAGCTGTTAACTGTAACAATTATTGTATGGTTGAGACACTGCCTTCGCAGACATGCAAACAGTGTTCCAGCCTTGAACCGGGCTTTTTATAAAGTCAGAAGGTTATATGTAACAATATATAAACCGTCTTTTATTAGAAAAAACAAATTACAGATAATGCATATATCTATAATTAGATGAGTGAGCAGCTTAATGGCGAAGTTTAGCTATGACAGCTATTCTTACACTTAACCATTTATTGCATAAGAATAATAGATGGTAAAAAAGTACAGCTGTGAAGAAAATAAAAGGAGGGAAATGCCCATGTAACTGATCACCACCTAAACAAAAATATAATGATTTTTTTTTTATACTCCAACTACCACGAAGGCCTGAGGCTTAAACACCCATTGGGTACCTTGGGGCTATAGGGGGATGCAGGGGAAAGGGGGAACGCCACACGGACTCTGGCGAGGGAACACGTGTGCATGCAACATGCACACATTCTGGCTTCGCCTACGAGATCCACCGTGTGGTACCTCCACGTTCGACAGTCAGAGACCGTCTACCACCTACGGACAATCACAACATCCATAGCCAAGAGAAAAATTTCTCCTGGGACGGGACTCGAACCCGCACAGCGCACGGCGACTGATCAGGAGACCGAAGAGTCTACTACTGCGGCCACCGCTGCTGCTGGAGAAAAACACCTTTAAGAAGCACCATTGAGCAGAAGAGCTTTTAAGTATTTTTAAAACTATACAGCGGCAGGCTTTTTGTTTTGTAATCTAAGGTATTGTACAACATGCATGCATTATATGACAAGGACCTGTTAAAAGCAGATGAACTATGAAGTGGCATTGTTAAAGCGAATGTGTTACGGATATGTCGTTGATGAACATTATACCTAAAAATTAGTTTTTCACGTAAATAAATTGGAATTCCAGAGACAAGTAACTTATGTATAAAGGTTAGATAATTGTATTTAACTAAATCTGTCATCTTTAACCAACCTATTAAAGGATAACGATCCGAAACATGATCAAATTTTCTTAAACTAAATATAAATCGTACGCGGTTATTTTGTGCTACAGATATTCTGTTACGACTTGCAACATCCAAACAAGGATGATAAACTAGATTGCAATAATTAAAAATTGATAACACAAAAGATTCACACAACTTTCTTCGCACTTTAAAATTCATCAAATTTTTGTTTGTTCTCAGACGGATGTAACTTCTTTGTAAGAGGCTATTTAAATGTTCACGAAGCCGCACGTTTTCATCAATTAACACACCTAGATACTTTACACTTTCAGAAAAAGGAAGATTTTGATTGTTAATAGATGTACTCAATGAAGCTTTGACTTCAGCTCTTCTGTGATTTGGACAAAACAGCACAGCAGAAGATTTAGAAGCATTAACGGTTAGGCTGTTATTGGCTGAGTAGGTGCAAATAGAGTCAATGTCCTCGTTAATTTCCCTAGTAGCAGTCTGGAGGTCCTCATGATAAAAGAAGTAAAGCAGTTGAGTGTCATCCGCATGAGACTGTAGCTGTGAATTTTGAATGGACTTAGCAATATCAGCTACATAAATTAAAAATAACAAGGGTCCTAAAATTGAGCCCTGAGGCACACCAGAAGTAATAAAGTGCTCATTTGACAAAACTCCAGAAAGTGAGACGCACTGAGAACGGTGAGTTACGTATGATTTAACAAACTGCAGTGCTATTTTATCAAAACCATAAAATTTTACCTTAGCACACATCAGTGCGTGATCAATTCTATCAAAGACCTTGGAGAAATCCAGTAAAACTAAAGCGACACACATTATTTTATCAAGGGCCCTGATGATGTTGTCCACTAAATTAAGAAGAGCAGTTGTAGTACTGTATGGTTTTCTAAACCCAGACTGATGTACTTGGAATATGTCACTTGACTCTAAAAAATCTAAGATTTGCAAATAAATTATTTTCTCCAAGATCTTTGTCAAAACACTCAAAAGACTGATGGGCCTAAGATCCGAGAAATCGGTGGGCTTCCTGACCTTAGGTATTGGCCTTACTATTGCTCGTCTCCAAGATATAGGAAAGTAGCCCTTCTCAGGACACAGATTGATAATATGGGTCAAGTAAGGTAGTACAATAGGAAGAGATAGCTTAATCATAAAAAGAGATATACCGTCAATACTCTTTGCATTTGACTTAAGGCCACTCACAACAGTTTTGATAGTAGTAGGCTCAACCAGAGTGAAGGAATATCGAGCACTCTGGGCTTAGTATTTGCTTTTATAATAGGTACTCCTATGTGAAGCATGGTACTAATACGGTTAGCTTGGCATCCCATGAGCATCGCAAAGCCTACAGAAAAACCTGCGCCAAATTGAGGCCTAGCTAAAGAAATGGCACATGAAGATTAACGGACCCAAGTTCATACATATGACATTCACCCTATGCAGAAAAACTGGTGGATCGGTAACTACCAGTTTACAAATTCCACAATAAAGTCATGCGAAGTATCGTGAAATTCATTTAGGCTTAAATGTTTAATGCACATTTTCCTCAGAAAGGAAACAAATGGACATCAACTTCAAAGAGATATACTGGGTTGGTTGGAAATCTAAACTGCCACTGGACAACAAGCTGTCACTCTGTAATGCTTGGTTGTAACTAATTTTGATGTATGACATCTAGTTATGGGGCACAGTGAGCAACAGCGATATTGCTATCCTTCAGCAGTTTCAGAATAAGGTCCAGAAAATGATCGTCTACGCACTTATGTTCCCAATGTGAAAGGGCTCAAACATCCTAATGTGATAGCGAGAGATTCAGACTTAATATTCCCTACTCGCACTCCGCTATTGTTCTATAACTGGTTCTGCGTGAAACTTTAAAATAAATGTCAATTGATATTTAAGTAAGTAAACAAACTTTTGTTTCCAAAGGCAACTTGATACTATTTTGTGTTTGTTAAAATTAAAGCCAATGAAGTTTGTGTCAAAACTTCTAGGACACACACAGGTTACTCTTAGGAGTTATCTAAAAAACATTTTCCCGCGGTTCATTAGTAGACACGTAGCGTCTGCAACTACTCGTAGACTACCGCGCCGCCTGTAGAAAAAGTTAGTTAGTAAGTAAGTAGTTAGGTGACATCAGCAATTGTTGAAACAGGTATAAATTCTTCCAGAATCTGGTGTAAAACAGGAAGTAAGCCCCTTTGTTTTCCTGATCTTATTTACTCTGTTGATACGAGAGTTCACGAAACGATTTATTTCAGTCATCGCGTGACTTGAATCTTAATATCCCATTTATACTTCCCTGTTGACATAATTTGAAATTAAAATTTCAGCGCTCACCTCACAAATCCCTCACTTTCCGTTTCTCTGCTTTAACAATTTTGTGACCGGTCACGTATAAACCTTGACACATTTGAGAACTGTGTGGGAAGCTAGAAAAGTATATCGAAAAATTACCCAAAAAGCATCAAGGTTTTTAACACAGGCTTCTATATGTATACATAATTGACAAGGTATTTATTTTGGCCAATAAATGAAACCAAATATGTTGGAATTCGAAAGAAATACTTTTATAACGTTTCAGATGCCACACATATATGCTAATAATGAAAAGTAACTAGGCAGCAACAAGAACTTTGTCAGCTGGAACACATACATTTACTGACAAGTCCGTGATTTACGACCATGCGGAAAAATGTATGTTATGGATAGGCTTGTCGGGTATGATGACCGGGTTTTCAGCCCCCAGGCTCTTTTATGCCCTCGGGGGGTAAAGTAACGGTAGCGCCCGCCGTATATAAATCAATCTATGGTAAACGCGATTGAGTCGCCACGAGAACCCTTGCTATTTATCGGTTACATGGCGACGGTGCAAACTGTTAAAAAAAGGTCAATTTACTTTTTTCAAATCTACTTGGAAACCACGCTTATTTTCACCTCTTAGACGGTCATAGATGAAATTTTTATACAGGGTGGCGCATCGAAAACGAAACAGACGCATTTACTGGCAGCTCAGTTTTTTTTTTGAAAAACGCTCAGACCCGTCGATTTTGTTTTCGAGGGCAACACAAATTTGGCAAAAAATCACGTTAGCACGTGCAGCTCCCTAAGCGGGGGTGAGACCACCCCCAAAATCTTAAATGGAAAGGCGGGTCGAGTGATACCTTATTTTAAAAGTATTTCAAGTGCCTTTATAATGATATAAAATTAATGTACTTCAGTTCAGTAGTTATGAAGATTTATTGATTTAAAGCTTAAATAAAACTAATACATCATCATTAGTGGAGATCAATATATTTGGCAGCAAAGTAATTCAAAAATGAAGAATGAAATGACCCGTTAGGCAAGTAAATGTTGAAAATGGACACCATGACTATGCGTGCAATAATAGAGATTTTGCTCAAAACGTTGCCGTACATTTTGCAATATTTGAGGCATAATTTGAAGGTTTTTACAATTCTTTGTCGCAGGTCTTCTAATGATGTTGGCTGAGTAGCATAGATTTTGCTTTTTAAATGACCCCACATAAAGAAATCCAAAGGTGATAAATCTGGAGATCTTGGGAGCCATTCAATGGCACCTCTTCTACCAAACCATCGATCTGGAAACGTCTGATCTAAATATTGTCGAACACGTAACGCGTAATGTGGTGGGGCACCATCCTATTGGAACATCAACCTATTCGCAATGTACCGCCGATTATTCTGATTTTCAACTATGACTGTTAATGCAGGATCTATGGCGTCTTCCAGTAATTCTAAATACATTTCACTGGTCAAATTTCCAGGAAAGAAAAAAGGACCAACTAAATGATCGCCAAAAATACCAGCCCAAAGATTTAATTTTTGTGGCTGCTGTATGAACCTCATGATAAATTCTGGGATTAGAATCGGACCAATATCGGCAGTCATGACGATTTACTACGCCATTTAAGAAAAAGGAACATTCGTCGGAAAAGCACGTGTTGAATAGAAAATGTTCATCGTTTATAATTCGTTCACTCATATCTTCACAAAATTGTAATCGCCGATCAAAATCGTCTTCATTAAGTTCTTGTACCAGGTGAATTCCATACGGATGAAAACTATGGGCCTTTAGAATCCGTTGGACAGTACGTCAACTAACACCACACACAGTCTCCAATTTGCGGGTACTTAACGTAGGATCTACATAAACTTGCCCTGAAACCCCCACTTCTATTGCTTCGTTCCTTATGGGATTTTCAATGTTGCGTTTGTTATTGGCGACTGATCCAGTTTCCCGTAATTTAGCTACAAGTTCTAGAACATATTTTCGATGCACGTTACTGTTCTCATGTCGCTCATTAAATATTTCTGCTGTTCTATTAGCGCACTGATTATTTCCGAAAAATATTTCGATAATTTCAACTCTTTCTGCTGTGGAATATACCATGGTTAATTTATGTAATAAGGCGTTTCGTGTTATTTTAGCAACAAAGTTTGGTCAGATCAATCGCAAACTATGTACTAAATGCCTATTTAAAATAAGTACGAGATATTTCCTTATCTTTCTTCAAGAAATAACTTTTTTGCCACAAAAAATGCCCCAATAGCTATTTTCAACAACAAAATGA